CAAAATCAAAAATTTTTTGTTGTTGAGTGTCTGAGTATTAGAGACGGTAATGTAGCTGTTGTTGGAATTGTGATATCAGTAAAGTATTTCAGATGATGGAAGAACTAAACCAATTCCAAAAAACAAGTCACAACATACACAGAGAGCAGAAGATTTATGCTTATTTCGGGCCAGATTAGGTGATAAAAAAATCAGCACTGTGGTTAGTTTTAAGTTATATTTTTTTTGGGGAAATTGTTTTGAACATTCTTTTGCTTTGCTCGTTTCTCATCATTTTCCATTTCTTTCGTTTTAATATATTTCTAGTTTTCTGTAATAGTTTACTCTATGGATGAGTGATTATTAGGAGTAATTGTTTAATTTTCAGGTTCATGCGAAAGAAGTGAATAAATTTCAGTTGGCTTATGCATCTGTTCTTAAGGCAAACATGATTCACCTGAAAAAACGCGAGCGTAAAACGGCAGTAGAAGGCAAGCGGAAAGTTGCCAGTACTAGTAAACCGAAAAAGACTTAGTTAAATGCTGACTTAGCGAAGCCTTTTTTCGGTGCAGTATGTATTTTCTTTTCGTCCTCCAGTGTTTTCAAAAATGCAAGTATTTATGTTTGTTTTATTCTGGCGAGAAAGATTATTATTGTAATTTAGTACGAAATTAGTGGTCTGAACATTTCACCAGATCTACTAAAAATTCCTCTCATTTTTAGTTTGTATTTTTTGTTATTAATATTGTTGAAGATTTGAAAAATTTGTCGCTCCGTCATTCATTACTGTAGAGTCATGACTTCAATTTCCTTTGATTTTTAGACTTTTTTTTTTGGATTGTTTCCCTGTTTTATAACTTTTTGGGTTATAGCTTGTAATAAGTGATTCTGTCAAAATATGTTTTTCATAAAGTCCCCTTGTGTTAAATAATTTATTTGTTCTTTTGCTTGAGTTTTTTTATTTCTGTCTTGGTTTTCATTTCTTTCCTGGCAAAGTTGTAAAATATAATTATTTTATTGGAAAGGCTCCTTGAGCAGTTATGTTATAGTTATCTGCATCGCTACTATTTGGTGCTGAAAGTAGAGTACCACAGGTTGATGCAATTAAAAAAACAGTAAACAAATATAAACAAAGCCTGTCAATTACAATTGCTGCAAATTTCCAATTATTTGCTTGTTCTGCATCGCGATCTGTTTCGACCATCCGTTTTGTCATTGTCTGAAAGTATTGGCAGTGAAACGAAGACATTTGAGGTAGGAATGACCTGTTACGTCGGTTTTCATCTGCAGTGACAGATATCACATACCTTAAGCTCCTTATAAATTCGTTGTAGCACCAACAGGGTTGCGTGGTCGTCTATGTCAATGCTGGAGCTAGAAGGTATGGAATGTGGATTTCTAAATGATATGACAGGCTGGGTACTGCTGCCGTTAGCAAACTGACTCAAACATCTAAACGACTTTTTTCCGGCGTTGAGCGAATTTGACCTGGAAGTTACCTTGTTAAAACAGTGCTTCTGTTATGTTTGTGATAAGCGGGGGGATGTTTCGGTGTTTAGCGGCCAGGATTTCTTCATGACTTAGTTGTGGTGGTGTCAAGGAGCAATGAGAAACTATTTGGAATTTGGTACCATCTATAATTTGATTAGATCAAAGGGGTTCAGACAGTGACAGGCTTTTGTAAATCCTTTTTGCTGTTCTAAGAGATAGAGGTGGGAGCAAGGCAAGGTGTGAGGCAAATTAACTTTCTGAATGGCTGTGCGCCAGTAATGGGCCGAACAGCTGAAGTTCCTTCTACCTGTCGTTCTATTACAGTTGTGTAAGAATTATGTACAACTGTGAGGGAAGTTAGTGCGCTTGATGTGTTGACGAAGTTTTTTTCAGAATTTCTTAACCGAGGATTCTAAGGAGGGTTTTTGTTTTAGCGTAAGACATCCGAATTTGTTACCAGTTGCTAGAAAGTGCATTTTTTGGTATGAAAGGGATTGTTTGAAAAGTGAAATAATATGGACGAATTGCTTCCTTAGAAAACCTAGTTGAAATATCAGCCTGGGAGTTTTCCACTGCTCTTTTTTTGTTCATATCACTTCCAAATCACTAATTACAAATTTATTTGTGAGGATAAGAGGGTTTTTAAGGTTAGCTCTCAAGATAGTATAGAAGAGGGACTGTAGCAGGCTTCTTATTGCATTTGTAACTATTCAAGTGGTAAAGGAAAAAACTAGTAAACGATTTTTGGCTTTTTATTATCACTTTCTTTTGAATACAGCTTTTCTAACGCTACTTTTAATGCCTTTCTTCGCCACCTATTCTATTTCATTTTTTAATAAGTTCCTCTTGTTTATGAAACAATTATGACGAACTGCAGGAATTTCAGATGTGGTAGACTAACTAAAAAGCTTTATAATTCATGTTCGCAATGTCAAGAGGATTTTACTGTTATACGCCAGTTCCCTAAATTATTCTACACAGATCTTATACGTTTCCGATAAAATGATTGAAAGACAGATGGTGGTGGGTAGCCCAGTCACAGATAACGCATGGCCAACCAGATAGGTTACTGGCTCCACAATCACTCGTATGCTCTTTTCTCTCTCTGAAACCGCCAGATTTTCAAAGAAATCTTATTACCTTGATCCTGTTTCAGCTTCTTTAATATTCCTCAGCAGAGATTCGCTATGAGTTTCAGGTTTTGTCCAGAAGAAAAGCGGAGGAAGCGTTTGCCACGTGAGTTTTACTCCAGGTCTATTTATCCGTAAGAGCCATGGCAGCCAATAAAGTAGTATTGTTCTAGTCTAAATTAGTGTTTTGAGGGTTTTTAACAGAGCATTAGATAATGAAAGAAAAGCCATAGTTTTCTTACAATGACTCCCATTTCGTGAGTTTCGGGAGTTCGAAAATGTAGGTTGAGTACATAAACGGTGAACACCGTTGACGCTGTGACAACAATCATGCAGCATGAGAAGAATATTCCTGTAAAAGAAATTTTTGGACGCGATCTGTTATGATCCAAAAAGAAAAGACTAGTATATGCTATTTTGCAATAGAACTTTTTCTGAGAGAAAAATTAAGTTAGAAGAACTGGTAATAAATGATTTTTTTTTTGTAATTGATGATACGTTTCAGATGGCAAGTACAGTGTTGTGTCTATTTGTAAGATATATTTACCTAAGAGTGGTACGGCTTCAGAAGTTGCAGGCGACATATCAGACACAATGCTAAGGAAGAAGCAAATAGATAGCAAAACTGTGATTTCTGCAATAAAAACGATTTTTTGTTCTAGCCACAGGCCTGGTTTAAAGTTTTAAGTTGAGTGGTGCAATAATTTATTGCGCAATGTAACTTACGAAGGGTAATTTTTTCTCCCGCATCTGGAGGAAGAGTAAACCCAAGTAAAGCCATCATTGTCGTCAGCACACATGGCATTATTAAGTTGAATCCTACAATCAAGATACTGAGTGTTTTATTAGATGGAGCACACTTTTTTCTTTGCAAAACAAATTGTCATACTTGACACATCGTCTCAGATGTATTGGCAGCAGTTCTAAGCTTAAAATATTCTTGTTTATGAGAATCCTCCAGGTTTGATGTACATTTGGTAAAATTTTAAGGGGATTTCAGTTGGTTTCAAAGGAGTACTACAAACACTTATTATGTAAAACAGATCGTAACTTAGTCTTTTTTTGCCTCTGAATCATAAGGTCTTCTGTAATAAAAAATGATATTAGTTCAATGCACGTTTAGCGTCGGGACGAAGAAAAATCATAACTTTTTTACTTTAAAAAAAAAGCACTGTTGCACTCAGAATTTTTTTTGTCAACGCAGAAGACAATATTGTCGGTAAACAAAATACATATATATATAAAGACAGAATATCCCAATCTTCCAAGCAATTTAGTAGCGTAGCTAGGTTCTGGAAATTTTCGTAAGAAAGTCACTTAGATTTTTTTTTCAAGAATCAAAATCGGTCAGAGCAAAATTTGGAAATGAGGCGAAAATGTTTGCATCAAATTTTCTCCATTAAAAAGTTGCAGTCTGCCAGAAAAAAATGGTTAGCGGTATCAGGCCAAGTATGCGGCCTTGACTACCGTTTTCTGAATTTTTAGTTCACTACATCAGAAAAAGAGCACTGCAGTAGAAACCCATTTTATCAGATTTGACTTTGTTGCTATTAGATCTTTTCAAGCAATTTTTATATCATTTAGCAAATAAAGTCGAGCTTTAACTTTGTTTTTTTTTGCTGTAATGACTCTTTTTCAAAAGAACAGAAGTTTCTGATAATCATAGAAATTCCACTTTATTATCGGATTTGAAGCTTGACCATTGCAAAAAAAAATTAACTATACTTTCTAAAGGTACGGTACATATAATGACTCGCTTCGCTTCCAAAGTGCGGTAAGCTTATACAGCGTCTGAAACAGTATACAAAGTAAATAAACCAAAAAAGTGGTCTGTCCCGTCTCGTTTGTGCAATCATGACGTATAGGCGGTTGTACTGGATAATTAAGTCAGAAACCCCAAATCCGTCTTCAACTTGTCCCGGAGTTACAATTAGCTTTTGTTATTTATTAGAAGTTCTCTGCGATACTAGTCTATGATTGACATTAAAATACTTCCTTGAAAGTAACTGTTATGGTTTGATGAGCTAGTTCCTGACTGTTCTGCCTTCTCAAACCCAGTGATTGAAGTACTAACCTTTTTCGGCGGCACTTACAAAAGCTTGCTTTTCAACGACATTAACTGAGGTGTGGGTAGTCGGGAGGTTTTAGAGGTGATATTTTTAGACTTCAAGACAAAAAAAAAAACCAGCAGAAAATTTTGGAGGATAAAATCAATGCACAGCGGATGTAAATTTAGATGGTTTTGTTAGAACATTGGGTAAAGTAGTGCTACTGTTCAGTGACCAACCGTAATAAAGGACACGACGGCGAAGCCAAAAGTGAGCCGTCACATCAATATATGGCTCCGGACAGCATTCGTAACGTTTTATGGTCCTGTTCATTATGAAGCCTGCAGTTAAAGACTAACTTTAAGCTTTTTTATTTAGAATTTTCTTAAAATGTATTTAAATATTGTTTTAAATAAATTGAAAGTGCTTTTTTGTTCTGATTGCTTGAAATACTTTTTATTTGAATCTTTATTAACTGTTAAAAGAATCTGTCGAAAACAAATGACAACTAACGAGAAAGAATCCATTCGCCATTTTCGAGGTATTCATCGGTACAGTTATCACCCATTTTTAAATCAACGCTGTAACCATCATGCGTCCACGTACCAAACTATAAAGTAGTAAGCATCATTTGTTAAAAATTTGAAATATTTAAATTCAACAATTTTTTCATCTTCCCTCAGACTAAAAACCATTGTTTTGTAGTTTATCTACTAACTAGGATAATTATTTGTGCAGATTACAGATGGCCAGATTTTGAACAACGACTGGCATTCTTTTTACGCTGAACTATTTCCAACTATTTTTCTCACGCTTTGCAGTGAAAGATGGCGATAAAACCTTTAGAGCTTAATGAAAAATATTTGACCTTGACCATGTAAAACTAAAACTTTAACATCAGAATAAGGATGATTGAAAATGGCAACCAACCTTCATTGAGCAATGCTGTTCGTCAAATGGAAACCATCTGATATTAATTTTGCAGCTAAATTTAAAAATACCCGGTGGTATCCACGTAACGGAACCATCGTTAGAAACCAGTATATTCACTTGATATGTCGAGTCAAAATTTGAATCCACACTGGAATAAATATGTGGATATGAGGTTTTTTCTATATACATATATAGCGTAATAAAAAGTACATTTTTCTGTCATGCTCAGTGATAACGATCTGTAAGGCTAATTTTAGTATTACCTGTTGTACAGCAGAACATCAGGCTTCCACAACCGACTTGCTGGGAAACGAAGACTTGTTATATTACCGTATTCTTCAGGATCCCAAGTCAAATTATAATCAGTCCAATTCTGGAAAAATTAAAGTCACTTGAAAAAAATGTAAGCTTAAAATTTAAAAAAGTGTTAGCAAACAGTGTAGTTTCCAAAAAAAAA